AGATATGATCTATGCACCCTTTACCTCGCCTAAAGCCTGCTTGATTTTCCCTCGTTTGTTCCTCCCGAGTTCTGGTTAGTCTGTGCATGATTACTCAGTCTAGGATTTTAGAGACTATGTTCGTTAGACTGATTCCTCTATGATTATCGCATGAGGACTTGTCTCTCTTCTTGAATATAATAATAAGTATAATAAGTGACTTACCCCAGTCTGATCTACATACTAGTATGTCACCTCCATATTTAAACACCTCCGGAATAATTCCGTCGGGTCCTGCCGCTTTGCCTCGTTTCAGATTACAGATAGCTTTTGTTACCTCACTTACAGACGGCGGGCTAGTGTCTATATCCCATTCGGGTGTGTGCTGGATGGCGGGGAGGCTCAGTGTGGCTGTAGGCAAGTTAAATTGTTCCTCAAAGTGTTCTTTCCAGCGTTCGAGGCGTCTATCCTGAGAGCTAATTAAGGAGCCATTTTTCTCAGAAATAGTCTCACTTGGTTGGGCAGGCCCAGTGACCAAAGAAGCCATTCAACACAGATACATAACTCTACCGTAGCAGAGTCAAGCATAATTCTGTTACTAGTCATTGTGATATTTCCAGTATTCTACCTACTAATTTAGTCACCTCATCCGTGCAGACTGGTTTCTGTGTCGCATATACAGTCTTCACCGGCTGTGACAATCTAAACAAGAACAGTTCTCAAGAGAGCCTCTCGTTAAATTTTCACTACTCTATGATTTTATGCACCAATAATAACTCGACAGCGATTGACTAGTTCCAACACAGAACTTTGCACATATTTGCAGCATTTCTAGTTGTCACTCTCTCTCCATATAGCACATAGGAGGTTAACAAGATAAGAAGGAGACACAATAAGCAGAAATGTGAAGAAAAGAATAGTATTATGGGAGAACAGTAGAGTTTTTTTGGATATAACAAACCACAAAAAGAGAATGCATTTCCGCCAATGACAACAACGATTTCGAGCCATATCGCCAATTGTATCCAGCCTTCATAGGTTCTTACCATCCCATGGACCCCAACCAGACTGGCAGTCTACACCTTCCAAAGTGGTTTAAACTAACTGTCATGCATTTCAGTGACGTTTTGGTTTGACCACCACTAGCTCTTTTCCAACTTGATCGGTCATGTGTCAGCTGGGAATACGAGTAAACGTTTCCGTTCAGAATTACAACCTTAAGCACCGAATATGGATTACTCATCACAGATTTGTACATGTATTACGTAAAGCAGCTGGGGATTGAGAACGTGAAACAACAACCCCATTCTAAAGGAAGTCAGCTTTCTGACCAAAATTAGTATGTCAGTCAGTCAGTCAGTCCGACGCCTATGAGATTGCGTGTCTCTTGTCAAAAATGATAAAAATCGTTTTGATGAAAGGTAGTGAAGATTTATGAAGGGACAGGCTGGTTTCAACACAGGACTTTGCACTGTAGTGTAACAGTTCGAGTTGCTACGCTCCTTCCATATAGCACACAATGCAAGAGAAGATAGCAAAGAGAGATTCAAAGCAGAGATCATCAACAGAAGTGTGAGGCACAAAGAACAGTAATACGGAAGAACAATATAATTTTATTCGATATAATAAGTCACAAGCAGTGGACACACCTGCGCTATTGAGCTACATCACCCACCAATTTTCTCCAGCCTCTGGTTTTTACCATCCCGAGGACCCCAACCTGCGAGTCTACACTTCCCTACGTGACTGCCTCAAACTAACTATTGTAGACTTCGCTGACTGATGAAGCCATGTTTTGGTTTGAGCACTACTGCCTCTTTTACAGCCTGTTCGTTTGTCAGTCAACATTGCCCACGTCGAGGTAAACGATGGCTAGGCATGAGCAATACATGTCTTAACCATCTCAATCGGTATAACATCACAAATTCGTCCATTGATTTTTCCTCCTTATCTAGCACTCGATGGCTAGCCTCAATATTGCTCACCCTATTATACCACCTAACACGGAAGATAGAATGCAGGCACCTATGATCAAAGACAGTTAACCTTTTCGTATCTTCCACTTTCATTAGCCAGGTCTCACAGCCAGTCATAAAGGAACGGACTGATGAGCAGTACACCCGGCCATTGGTCGATATCCAGCCGAATATCACGTCTACTAAGCCGTAGATGGCGATACTTGGCTGAGAAATTCCAAACGAACCTTCTGTATCCTTGCTGAGATTTCATCAGCGATTGGCTGTTGCTAATCCCCAAATAAGTGAAATGGTCAACGCACTCAGCCACCACTTCACTCCATATGTGTAAATTAGGAGTCTATATAGCCCAGTCCTGAAGCCTTATCATCTTACATTCGACGGGAGCAATCGCATACCTGACATTCGGAGATTACTGCTCAGAACAAGGCATTCAGAAGACTGTATTTTGTCACCACGTTCACATAGAAGGACTGTATCATCTGCATATTCTAAGTCAACGAGACTACTATTCCCTGGTAAAAAGTCAATTCCTGAGTCGCTGAAGTCACTTAGGGTTAAGTCTATTAGTACATCTAAAATGAAATTTAATAGTATTGGGATTGGGCATCCCAGAAAGAGATTACTGGTTGTGATCGGCACTTTAGAAAACAACTATCCGTAGGCACTTACCTACCTGTAAGAGTTCAAGTCGATTGCTTTGATCAATAAGATAAATTTCCTCAGCATTCCATTCACAGCCAGACAACAAAATAGTAACTCTCGTTCGATGAAAACAAATGCCGCTCTCAGGTGAAGTAATACGCCGATTATGGGAATCCAGTAGGTATGCACATAATACAGAATTTCTCGAAGGATGAAGACATGATCAATGCATCCTCTTCCTGGTCAAACGCTTGCCTGATTCTCTTGTGTTTGTGTCTACCGTGCGCCACTTGGGCTACACAACATTATTAATCATTGAACTATAGATACCATATTGGTTCAGCTAATCTTCATGTTATTATCACAAGAAGATTTGTCTCCCTTCTTGTGTATCGTGATAATCAATGACTTACACCAGGTTGACGGGACTACTTCTGATTCTCGGTCACTGCTTAGTACCTTAGTTAACGAAGACAGAAGACTGTCTCCAGCGTCCTTAGACACCTGGAGTTATGCCGTCAGGTTCCACTGCTTTGCCTCTTTCAAGACTAGCGACAACTTTTGTAACCTGAGTTAGGGATGGAAGACCTGTGTCTATATCCCGATCAGAGAAATGTTGGATGCCGGGTAAGTTGAGTGTGGTCGTAGGCCAGTTAAATTGCTCCTCAAAGTGTTCTATCCAACCTTCGAGCCATCTACCTTAACAGCTAATCATAATGCCATTTTCTCGGAGATTGTTTCACTTATCACTTACATTTTGCCACCTGTTCCCCTGATAAGTCTAAATAGTTGGTTGGTGTTACCTATTGCCGATGCCTTTTCCCTCTCTCATGATTTTGTCACTCACCGCTGTTCACGGTCGTTGCGAAGACTTCATGTTAGTTTACGTTTGAGCAGCTTTCGCTCTGCATCATATTCGGAGCTCGCTGGAATCAGTCTTCTTGCGTCAATCAATTAATAATATATATAATTCGGATGAGGTGGTAGAAATCCACTGGCTCTCACAAACTTTTGGTTTCAGCTTATTATCAATAGCCTTTACAGTTGCGTATACAGCTAATTGTACGTTGCGCCAGCCAGACTTCCTCAGGAGGAGGCTTGCTGTCGACCACAGATACTAGTCTCGCTATTTCTTCCTTGAATAGGGTCTCAGTGCCTTGATCTAGTTGGGGACCTAACTGCTTCACTGCCAAGAATTTTTCTGTCCGTTTAGACGTATGCATAAACGTGCGCGAACCAGGGCGTGATTGGAGTCTACGCACGTGCTGCAGGAAAAGCGGCAGTCTTCTACCAACCTTCGTCAACGGTACCCTGTCGCTATGTGGTCTACCTGAGTCAAGCGTTGATTTGGTGATGGAGGTCGCCAGGCTACACAATGTCTCTCTTTGTGCCTACAGTTAGCGCTGACTAGAGACAGATGATTGTCTGGACAGAACTGTAGAAGACGATCACCGTTGTCGGCAGGGCACTCCATAGGTACCACCTACATACTTCTCAGTCTGGCACAACTTTCCTACTTGGGCATTGAAGTCGCCTGCTAAAACAACTATATCTATACGTTTTGCTTTTTGCAGCAAATTAGACAGTTTCAGGTAGAAGTCTTCCCTTAGTTCATCCTATCTGCAGTCTGTTGGAGGCGTAATCAAAGACTGGGAATAGACAACGGCGGGTAGAGCGATCCTTCCTTCTTCTAACGGACGCGTCCACACGCACCTCACACATACGACTATCTACTGGGATCCAGTAAAGAAGTGATTTTTCTGCCCTATCACTCAATGTTATCCCTACACGTGCTTGTCCTCGCAAACTAACCGAGAATGACCTGACATCCGAGGGAATTTTTCAAATTCAGTCCTTGGAGCAAGTGAATAACCACACTCCGGAATTGTATGCGTTTCTCCAAAACAAAGCGTACATCTGTTACTCGAGATGACAGACTGATGCCTGTAGTACAATTTAGCAGGGATTCCTGAGGTTAAATGCTCCAATATGAAGTTCATACAGTTAGACACGTGATGCATTACAACTACCGTAATAACATTGATTTAAAGCAAAGTGCCTACGCTTCGCAGCCACAGGACACACCACCTAACTTAAGTTTCAATCTCTGTATGTATTCAATCAATATGCGTGGTTTATATGATAACAATTAGAATACAAATGACAACCAACAATTTTATCCGCTTACTTCGGGACTGAATGGTCTCAGAGATTACTAACTGCGAATGCATCTGCAGCAATGGCAAATATTTCAAAATGCGTTACCGAAAGCCTCAAGTACGCTAGCCAGACGACAGTTTGCACCTCCTTACATGACCGACAGCCAACTTAGACCTTACATACAGGTTTCATGAGATACTAACAATAATAGAAGCCGGGTTATTAGAAGAAAACAAATTAACAGCTTAACTAACATGTTCAACAAATAAATACTGTACAGATAGTAAAAAGTTTATAAACTCGGTAGAAAAACAAAAAATAAAAAGGTCTTACATATACATATTTACAATACATGTACATAACGATTGATAAATATTTTAACGTAGACAGTTATTCATGTGTACATATACGTATGGATATCTTAATTAATATCAAAAATAGATAAAAATGGCAAAAAGGTTATGCACACACAAATAAACGGGAACACCACAACATACCAACCTAGAAATGTCAAAGTAGAATGTACAAAAAACAAAGGAATATCACATTTGCGAATCATCATTTAAACTCAATTTTATTTATAACACACAGAAAATATAAAAAATAGGAAGCGGAAGAAGACTTTGCATACTGACGGTGCTGATAGTTCATTCGACAGACAAATCCAGTACCTAGACAGTGATCGAACCCATGAGTAAATGGGAGAAATTAAACACAGAAATTGTGAATTTAGTTAGGCTAATACTTGAAATCAACAATAAGTTTAAATTGAAATACATATACGTACAAACATTGAAGAAAGAGGGACATCAATTCGAGTACATACATGCAATAAAGACAGCCTGACTGATTCAGCGTTCTCAAAGTGTTTAAATTCATTGGCTCTGGGCTATAGCTAATTGTCGTTCTCAATGGTGCAGAAACATTCACTCTTTTTGCATGATCTCACATACCCACTAAACCAACAGGTAACTGTTGTTTCTCCACTGCATTTCTGCTTTCGATTTACTCTGTCTCTCATTTATCTACCTTTGTGTGTGTCTTATATGGACAGGCGTGGGAGGTTAAACAGGTGTACTTTTGTATTGAAAATTAGTCAGTCAGTTAGTCTATGGTTGGTACTGACTGACTAACTAACTAACATTCTATCAACGTAGAACTTGAAGCACTTCAAGTTGTCAAACTTCACCAAAAGTACACAAATATATATTGAGAAGGAATAAGTGTATACACAATGCCGCAGATGTATCCACTCCTTGTGACTTAGAATATCCAATAAAACTATACTGTTCTTCGATATTACTATTCTTTTTGACTTATATCTCTATTTTGCATTTCTTTTTACTTTCTTCTTGTACTTTGTGTGAAGTGTGGCGACTCAAACTGCTGCACATCGGTGCAAAGTTCTATGTTGAAACCAGTCAATCAGTCAGTACACAGAATAATAAAAACCTTGATGGATCTAAGGGTTCATAGAGAGTGATTGAATCCATCGAGCATGGCTCTCACGAACCACCTGGTATGGGTGAGGGCGGGTGGAATTCGATCTTCTTGAAATGTTAGCAACAATAACAACACACTGCCAGACAAGGAGTGCAAGCGACAAGACCAGAATGCTTTCAGACTGATTCACACTTTGTCCAAAAGAAGAATTAGGATAAGAAAAAGATGAAAAGATTGAATATTGCACACACCGGTAATTTTGATAATTACCTAACAGTAAAATGTGTATGTTCGCTCTATAAGTTATAATAAAGTTTAACAGATATAAGAACGTGTGCGATTGCGTTTGTCTGTCATATGATTGACAAATCTACCTTTGCACTTTTTTCACTTTCTACAACAAAGTGTAAAAGTGAGAGAAAATTTCGAAGCATAACACACAATTATATTTTTTAAAAGGCATATGATAATCCTTTGAAAAAACCAGCTTTATTTCTTCAATTGAATAGTTACTTCTACACATATATTAATTAACAATATTCTAAAATGCATACATATACATATCTGGTGCTCAAAAAGAGTTCGTGGTTCAATGGTTAACCACTCGGCAGCTGTAGCACGGGAAGTGAAACTTCGATCCCTAGCAGCATACGCACCCCCCCCCCCAATTCACCGCATCATCTACCAGCAGTCGGTAGTAAGCCATGAAACGATGGTAGGTTTGGCGTGACTAGCAACCACATCATCGCTACTGAAACTTATGAAGCTTTGAGCTTTATGTTCCATATGTACGACATAAGCCTGTTGCATAAAACTAACGATGAAATAGTCTGAGAAGTATCAAATTCAAGTTTAGAAGTTGTGTTTACTTACAGCCAAGGATATATCATTTACAAAATATTTAGGCACTTGAAATTTGCAAGTTTCTCTCTTACCTTAAATTCTTGCACAATCACAGATCTCATATACATACACTGCCATTAAGCATCCTTATTAATAACTCTTTGTGTCATTGCACCAATTTTACCTGTTAATGTTGTTATCACTGATAATTATCAAAACACTATTATTACAATTCATCTGCATAATGCAATCACTCACTTCAGAAAAAAACTATCATTGGTTTAAATTTAATATATATAAAGGGGTTATACATAACTGAGAAAAGCCTTAATGAAATTTAACTATTACTAATTTAACCACAGAAAAAGATGTTATAACTCCGTAAAATTCAAATGAGAACATGAAAAAGGGAGAATAAAAGAGAATGATAACCACGAAAGCAAGCAGAGTATTCCTAATTTAGTCAAAAGGCAATAGAACACGGATAAAATAACCAAGTAAAGCTTTGTAGATATAATAAAGTACAGGTGTCTAAACTACGACGACGACGATAATTAGCTGAGAGTTCCATAACCACTCATTGATTACACACACGCAAACTATAATCCCCTTGGATTTCGAGTGGAACACAGGGCTCCAGCTTAGGTGGATAGCCGTTTCACTCTGTTCGCTGCCTTCGTGGTTACGCATAGGCCTTCACCTACTCCATGTCACCGTGCAACACCTATACGGGTCCGATCCATACATCTTATTTGTCTTCTGCATATATGATGGTTGAATCACAGGTCCATTGCCGTTCTTTGTTGTCGATCGTCTCTGGCCATCTGATCTTCAGTTTCAAGAGAAAGCAGCCATTGATGAAGGTTTACAGCAAGCTGGTGGATATGCTTATGTAACTCATCAAGTCTCTGAACTATTTAAGAGGCGCTAATTTGACACTAGTTTTCTACAAAACCCTGATCTTGCCACTTGTGCTGATTAAGTACAGTAGATCCCCACACACATTCTAGAGTAATAAATAAATGTACCGCTTTCCTGATCCCGGTTGTCTTTGACATCATCTGTGTAGTCGCTTGTGGTTGAAACAATGCTTTTCAGGTGAATCAGAGACAACCCTCCCTATGTTTCTCCTATCGATGATGATTGGTGTTTGTTAGGCATATTCTCATCAGCAAGCACTCAGTCTACAACCACACAGAACTTTCCAGAGAGGTGTAGCACACAGAGGAAGAGAAAATAAAGATTAAAAAGAACTATAATCAGCAGAAATGCGGGGGAGAAAGAACGATAACAAGAAAAACCCTAGGGGTTTGATAAATACGTGGGTGAGTGCGTCTGAGCCACTGAGAAAGACGATTTTGAACTATATCCATACTCTGCAGTCATTTGCTTCTTAGCATCCTGAAGATAACAAAAAGGCAGTTTTATTCCTCCCAGTATGGCTCTTATCAACAGGCAGTCTTAGTGAACTGATGGCACTCTCTTTCAGCCTAATCATATCTTAGCTAATACTGCTCGTCGAGGGAGGGGTTGGCATAGCATGTACAACACGTGTTCTAACCACCTTAATCAATTCACCCATACAACTTCATCGAATAATTTACCGTCCTCACCTAACAATCGACACCCCTGGTTTTAATATTCACTATATTATACCCCTTAACATCCTTTGGTCGAATACAGCAAGCCTACTCAAATTTTACACTTTTAACGACCATGTCTCATCACCAGAACGATTGGCGACAAGAGCTGCTGAGCTTTCTTTTGATTGATAGCTAGATATCACGTCTACGCTAGAGACGGCAGAAACTGGCAAACACCTTTTGTATCCGCGCTGAAATTCCGTCCGCAATCAGGCAATCAATTAGGGCTGATGCAACTTCCCAAATTAGTGAACTGGTCAACACGCCCAACCATTCCATTGCCTGTCTTTCAGCCAGGAGTCGGTGTAGTTCAGTTCTGTTATGCATTAGCCTATACGTGAGATGAATATACAGAAAAACAAGTTTGGCTAGTAACCTGGGATCTATAACGGGGGTTCACTTCAAACAACGTGCAAAACTAATAATTACTTTTAATATATATATTGTGCAACTCACTCTAATTACAGGTGAGGAATCCGCAACGATAACACGTTCCAGCTGTTTACCCTCAAAGGCGTTCACTTCTTCACCGTGATATGTACCTTGACCATAAGCATCCGATTCAAGATTCCATACATAGATACTCTCGTCTTTACCACCGCTGATTAGTAATGTATCCTGAAAAATAAAAGAGAATTTCATATTGATTTGAGCTGGTGCAGAATTATACTACTATCAACTGCAAAAATATTCAGCCGCATCATCGTGCAGAAACTAAAAGATGCCCTGGGTGAGAAATTCTCACTCGCGACAAGCTGAATTCAGTAAAAGCATCAGCACGGAAGAGAACATAGAATGCCAGTCAACTCTCCACCTCAACTTCATCGAATTTGGAAACTGCTTCAACAAACACTAGGAAGTAGTCACCCAAACCTTCATTAGCCTCATTCAACAGCTATGTGAATATGATGATGCAAAATGTCAAATGATTCAAAACAGAAAGCTCATCAAAGTCTTGGAAGTGAAGACAGGAATACAACAAGACTACCTTTTGTCACTGATAATATTCCTGTTTGTGGTGAAGACGGGCATACATCGCATCAACAAGAAGACACTGAGAGACCTAAACATTAGATCGACAAAAAGAATCCAGGAGACCCGGACCTTGTAGATATGTCCTGTCTGATGTCACAAAACTCGACAATCCACAGGCGGAACTCAACAAGTTGAGGGAGCAGGAAGTGATGAGACAACTTCAAGTGAACAAAAAGTAGTAAGGGGGTTTGCTGATAACCAACAAACAACGGGCATTAGTCACCATCGGTAGAAGTTATATTTAGGAAGTCACTTCTCATTTTTCTAGGCAGCATCGTGTCAACAACAACAACAACTAGAGGATCTCAAAGCTAGGATCGTAAATGCAAGACAGGTGTTCACACTCCGAGATTAGTATTAGGATTAACGGCACTCACGATAACCAACGAGATCCGAATTTTTATTCCCGTGTTTTTGTATGTTCAACAGGATGGGCTAACCACTGAAGGTATTCCTAACACACACAATTACCTCTTTCGCTCGATAGTGAAGATCATATGGTCACAGAAAGGATAAATAACTAACAAATATGAAGAAGGAAGTTGATTGGATACACATAAGCTGAGCGCACTGCTGTGTGACGTTACATACTAGGTCGTTTAGTGGAACTTAAATGGAAAAAGATAAGTTGGACTTCTGAGGTTAATACAGTGGTAATCATGTGGGGAAGAAATAGAAGTTTATGGGCAATCGTGGAGCGATAAAAAGCATGAGCGTGGAGGAATGACGATGTGCTGTTGAAGCCTTATGTTCCACTCTTAACCCGCAGCCACAACTATTTTTGACATATTACTAGATCAGCTGACGCTGCTTAACATTAAACCCAACTATATTGTAGCACTCGAAGTATGAGATAGGACGCAATCACCTATGGTGGAAGACAAGTATCCTCTTCACTTCTTCCACTCTCAACAGCCATGATACACAGTCATAAAGGAACACAGAACAAACTGCTTCACAGTACACACGTCCTCTCATCGATACCTGGATATCACGTCACCACCAAAGATGGAGCAAGTTGAGAATTCTGACGTAAGCGAGCATTATAATAGCTACGTTGCAGCTTTTATACCTCGTGACACATTAAACCGTATAAGTTGAGATTTAAAAAAAACCTACATATGTTACTACCTTTGTGACAGCAAGGGAAACAAAAATATTAGCAAACATACACTTATAAAATGGATGGTTGACACTCCACCCTGGTGACCATATAATGATTCATAATGGTGTAGATACTTGCCAGGCCCGGCAAATAATTCAATGGTGCTGCTCTCAAGTCCGGCAGCGACGATGTTACCAGATTGCGAACATGCGATTGACATAACTGAACGAGTACTTAACGGTATGCTAGAAGGCCGGGGATTACTTGATGATACTGGTGTGGGCAAAAGAAAGAGTCGTGCCTGCGTGAAAAAAAATGATTTCAAAGATGAATGACAGTTAAATCAAATGGCTTCAATTATTGGAAGGCGAATAATATTTTTCTAGTGTTTTAGAACCTTTCTGTAAAAAAATCAAAACTATGCAGGAGATAAATAAACATGACTCTAGAGCCACAAACATGTAACCCAGTAGTTACATATAATCTTACCTAGGTTACCAGTCGCTAATAAGCCCGGAAAAGTGGGACGGTTGGGAGCAGGGCAGTGAACTGCTCACACACTTCGGCACCTTCAATAATTCGGTGATCAGAGGCAGCGTTTACAACCACAAGCATATACACAAAGTGACATCGGTTTCACCCAACGAACACATCAAAAATTAGATGGACTTCATCTTAATCTTAAGAAAGTTGAGATGCAGCCCGCCAGAAACTAAGTTGAGATGAGCAGATAGGAGCCCAGACCATATATTATTTAGTGCAAGGACCCTTCAAAGTAAAGCTGAAGGCCTTCAAGCAATCAGGATAAAGGCTATAATTCATCCCCAACACTGCAACTGAAGGACAACGCAACAACGGGCACCTCTACCGTGGTCAACAGGATAAAGTCAGAAACAGTAAGCAAAATCATCGAGTTAGCTTGTGTGAAAAACACAAGGACGCCCTAGAATTGGTGCAAAAGCAAACCCGTACAGAAATCTGAGACAGGACAAGGAATGACTCACAATGGACATATGGACGGTGATGGAGTAAAGAAGAATGATGAACCAGAGCAGAGACGAATACCGGAAGCAGACGCTGAGTATAATTTACAACGTATTGAGCAAAGGAGCGGCAAAAGCATTGAGCCGGTAACTTCAAAGGACTTACGTAAATTTGAAAACTGCCTCATCAACGGTGTGCCGCCACGAACTTTTATAAACCGCATTAAACAACTGTACGGTAACGCCGAATACCAACATCAGGTGTTCGAGGTGAAGACAGAAATGAGACAAGACTGCTTACTGCCACTGACAACCTTCCTGATTGTGGCCCACTGGACCAGAATACACTGAACTGACAAAAAGACCCAAGAAGATCTGCTCCTAGTGGATGTTTCATATCTCGCGTGCCACAAACTCGAAGATCTACAATTTTAAACCAACAAGTTAGCAGAACAGGCAGAGAAGACAGGACTTCATGTAAACGCAGAGATGATCAACAAGCACTGGTGATCACCAGTGAAAGAAATCAAAAGAAAGTCAACTCTTGCTTACCTGGGAAACATCGTATCAACTACTGGCAGCGGTAGAGAAGCGGATGTCAAAGACAAGATCGGGAAAGCAAGACAGACCATCACTGCTCCGAAATCAGTTTGAAGATCTACGTTACTTACTCAGTACAAGGAAGATCAGAATTTGCTACTATATGATTCAGAGACAGCGTATCATCAAAAGACTCCAATAGGATACTAGAGATTTTCATCTACAACTCTCATTGCTGCCTCGATACTGAAGATCAAAAGGCTCGAAAGGACAGATGACAAGGAGCTCTAGCAACAAACAAGCTGAAAATACGTTGCCTTACAAACATGCAAATGAAAATGAAGGTGCTCTGTGGATACAGAGCTTCAGTTGACATCACACACCAGGCACTACAGAGGAACCAGAATAGAAGGTGAAGTTGGGCTTCAGTCTGAGGGTGACACAAAGATAATGATATGTGGAGGCAGTTGAAAGTAATGGCAAAGAATCAAGTGCAATGGGGGTGTGCCGCCAAAGCCCTATATTCTGTTGGAAAAGCAAAGAATGAGTAATAGCAATGATAATGATACGTGGAGAGGAAAAAACATTAATATTAGTATTCACCTATGCATCCATTGTCAGTTGAAATAGATATTGATCACGCATGTCACACATTTAAAAAAGTATAGAGTTTCGTAGGTTTACAACTTGATCGGTTATTTCCTGTTCACACAAACATCTTGTTTATGTTCATTCATAGCATTCGTGACTGAATGATGAAACAAAGCATTCAAATGACCCTATTCAAGCAACCTAAACCTCCTTAAGCATGGTCTACACCAACAATACATGACATCATGCATTAATAATGTGCTTTTGTATGACCGCATACTTTCCCTAGCACCATCATTAAGTGAAAAGTGTCCCGACTCTCGCAGCCACCTTGATCACCTTTTGCAAATTTGACTACTTGATGGGCGTAATTTCTTTGTCACACATTTTCTATCTTTCAAGCTTTTTTCACCTACCAACGTCATGAACTGATTTTATGTTAGGGTTCGGGAGACTACTCCAGAAAGAGGGACTGCTGTTTACTATTGCGACATGTTATAGCCTGATTGACAAGCCACAGAACCTAATCAGTGATAACCACCGAAAGATAAGGTGACAAGTGGACTGCTGCTGATACACTGACTCGTCCTGGGACCGACTAGTCTATCTATACCACATAAAGGACTTTCCTCAGAGCAAAGATATCCACGTAGGAACTACCACTGCAATAATTGCCAAAGCCATCTGAAATATATCATCTAGTTGGTAGCAGAACTTATAGTTAGTCACATCTGGAGTTGAAGTTCTTTGCAGGCAATGAGAAACTTCTTCCTTTAACAGTTATGCAGCAGCTCATTGATCCTTTTGTGCTGATACACACTGAAGTTATTCTCAATCTTCTACTGTCCCTGATGATGTAGAAAGGATTAGCATGGCGTATATAGTGTTTCCAAACAAGTGAAGAGCATATCTGCATGGGTTTCACCAAATTGACGATTATGAGCTTCAACGTAAAAAACACTTCACAAGGGAACACTAGAATGAGATGAAGAGCCTTCATTGTGATGTCAACTAGAATTTACAGCTCATTATGTATTTTCCAACATTACAGTGCAAGAAACAAAACACAGATTTCACTTTTAAAGAAACGACCAGAAATATTGCGATAAACACCTAGTACACACGCTGAAAAGCCTAAGTTCCATCCTACTTTTATCTACACAGTAGGCTACTTTATAAGATGAGGAGTCATGGAACAAGATACTGTTCTGGTCATCATGAAATCTTGTAGGTTGAAACAGTGTATAAGGACACATGTAACAAATACAAAAAGATGTTGACGTTAGTCGACTTACAATTTGCTCGGCGAACCGATCTCGAGTGCGGTCATCAGTTCTGGTATAACCCCCGTCATAGTACATGGTGGAGACAAAATCGAGACCGGATAATGGATTCAAGGATTCATCATCTATACTGTCTACATAACTATCGTCAGCCGCCACATTGTTTAAGTCGGACACAGAGTAATCCACCATTTCATCCAACTCAAATATATTTACCGCTAGACCGCTTCCTTTCCAGTCGGAAACGACAACTTTACAGTCGACACCACCGCTCACCAGCTGCCAAGGACGGCCGGGGCGAAACTTAGCTGAAGACACGCTTCTATCGTGCTTCCTAAGAGTTCGCACAAGGGTACCATTACTCAAGTCAATAATCTGTACAGCACCAGTACCATCTGCCGATGCCAGACGATCACCAATCTCCGATACATCAATGGAATTCACTTTTTCTTCATTAACCTAAGGGTTGAAAGATTAGTTTTGAAAGGGTAGTTCTGGGAACATACTTTCCAAACACCAGATGGCTGTGTTATGTTGCGAATATCCCAGGAAACAATTTCTTGACAGTATGCGCCGTACAGCATATTCGGTTGTTTAACACTAAATTTAAGACTAGAACAGTGACCATATCTCGGAGCCTGGAGAACAGGATAAGGACTTTGATCAAGCGACCAGAAATAAGTATTGCCATCCACACTTCCAGATGCCAGCAGATGATCAGAAAGTGACAAAGATGTGACTGCTTCTGTGTGTCCACGGGCAAGAACAATAGGGTTGGTGGACATTGTGACTCCTGAATTAGAGGGTGGGATTAGTCGACGAGGGAACTTTGCGGTGATGAAAAATGTAAAAGGAAGGTCTATTTCCAAGTGAATCACAGGTCCTAAAAATGCATGAAACGATTGATGGAACTTACTTCTCCCTGAACTCCGCAGCAGCTTCTATCTCCTTCAGATTTCCAGTGAGACCAACGAGACCAATGCAGACGACAATGAAAGAGAGAACTATTTGCACAAGGATCTGTAACATAATGCGACAATGTTAAAGAAAATCACATACTCACATCAATAGGTAATGAGCTATATTCCTGTTCTGTTAAACGGATATAAGAACGATCTACAAGGGTTTGAAATGATAAGAGCTCGGGAACTACGAGGAACTTACGCTGGGCAGCGGAATAGGCAGCGTGTGTGAGGCCACAGAGCCCAACGACTAGGGCAGCGCGAGAAGCACTTACCATTTCAGCGCCATCAACACCTGACCGATTCAGTCAAACTGTCGCAAAACAACAATGTGATTTAAAAAGTCCCTTTGCACTTTTCATGCAAGATAAATAAGTAAAAGTTAATATTCCTGCAAAATAGTTGAAGGAAAATGGGGTTTTGTTTGAAATAACTAATAATAATTCGGATGTCCAATGGTCCAATGCAAAACAAATTCCTTTGAAGAATCTCAGTGATGACTAGATTCAATTTATAAATTAGATTCATGTTTTTTTTAATTTTCCAAAATAATTTACTATTTTTGGAGTATCGAATTTCTCACTAACATTCTGAAAATTTGACTTGCGAAACGTCGCCTGATGATTGGTTAAAAAGGCATGGACTGCTTTCTTCTTGAAAATGACTTTCCAAAGCCTCCCCACATTACATGCAATGGAGTCTGATACGGCTGTTAAACTTTCTGGAGTTCAAGCTATTTTGGATCAACTAGGTTTTGGATGGTATCAAGTTCGTGTCATTATAATCATCGGTATGGCTCAAGCGACTGATACCATGGAAACTTTAATTCAAGCAATTCTTGGGCCTACACTACGATGTGAATGGAACATGAGTTCGGATTATGTTGCTCTTCTTACCACTCTAGTATTTTTGGGTATATGTATAGGTTCTCCACCGATAGGATATTTATCAGATAGACTCGGACGTAAAGATTTGAATGTTGTTTGTTGTCTTGCACTTATTCACATGACATGGTTATGTGCTATTTCACCAACATATACGTGGTTAGCAACTTTGCGCTTTATATCAGGTCTATACATTGGGGGCTTACTAACAGCTGGTTGTTCAATGATATCAGAAGTGCTACCAGAAAATTACCAAGCTACTGGTCAATTACTTGTTTGTTTTTTTGATTCTTTTATTGCTCTCTATGTAACTGGTATCGGACTTGGATGTTCTGTAGCAAAACTTAGTTGGAGATTTTTTATATTATTTACAACAGCACCCCTGTTGTTATGTGCATTAGGCTTAGCCTATTTCATACAAGAATCACCCATACTATTGGCTCAGTGGGGAAATTATGAAGAGGCAGCAAATGTTCTGGATGAGATTGCAAAATGCAACGGTCGAATTCCATCGAAAAGCATTACAGATAATGAAAATAATGACCACAGTAATGATAACCATTCATCGAACAAATCATGTACTTTTCTAAATAACATGCTGACGATTGAAGAAAATCAAAATTGTGCTAATACAACACCAACATTTAAAAATACCATGAAACTTATTTATAATCAATATGCTCTAGCAACGCCTTTACTAATTGCAATTAATTTTATCTGGGGAATGATTATTTATGGTGGGACTACACTGCTTCCGGTTGAACTGCCATCAACTCCAAGAACATGCTTACAAGTAAGACCATATGTATATGTATGTATATACCATGTTATCACCGCTTAATATAATAATTATTTGTCCCTTGGGTTCTAAGTGTGATACAGGGCTTCATCCGCCCTCCACAATCTTTATCTAGCTGCCTGAATCAGTCCCCATAAGCTTTCATCATTTCCTCCTCACGTGGTCCATTCCACCCTCATACCCATTCCCAACCTGTCGATTTCAATTTGAGTTCGACTTGAAGGCCTGAGTGACATTCATGTGGTCTTCTCAGTGCATGTCCAGTTCATCCATTTCTACTTCCTTATGCATATTTGTTGGTTGGGCAATAGGTTTATTGCCTACTAGTGACCCCTGTTCCTTGCATTTCCTTTCTGGCCATGGCTTCATATTATATTTTCTTTGTTCCTTTTTTCTATTTTTAGTGTAAATATGCATAATTTATTTTTACATATAAATGGCCAACTCACTATGCATACACGAATTTTCCCCTTTGGTGAATTTAAACAAAAAACCAGTGAACTCTATCGAAAACAACCACACTTAGGATAAAAGTGAACTGATGTCTCCTTGATATATTTCGTTGTCGATTGGTGAATCTCTTGTCAACCAACCCCTCATAAAATCTGAAAACTGAAAGTTATAACTTTTATTATTACAATTAGTCTGTCATAGCCCCTTAGATCTTTGAAAAAATAAAATGTAGAACAGCAATAATAATAATAAGAAGAAGAAGAATGATCTTGATATGTATACAGATGAGTCGAAGTATCAAGTAAAATGCAAAATGTAAGAATTTACAAAAAAATCCTCACCGAGACATTTAGAAGACAATCGGATTTAGCGAAGAGACACTTACCTTTCAATTAGATCTTCATCTATAGATCTACTCTACTACATGCATAGCATTTTCAACACAATATAAAGAAGCTCAACAATCCAGTAGTAGTGATAAATTTGTTAATAATAATTATTCAATATTGCTGTGTCAGCGGCAGTGTTAGTTAACGAAGAACAACTGATGCAAATAATTTAAGAGCAGAAATAATTGAGAAAATTACAGAGTTGGATTCCATAATTTTGGAAAAATACGATGAATAATTGGGATACAAATTAGTGTACAAGTCGATGAAGTGATAAAAAATTACGGGTGTGACCATTGTCACGCTGTGCGACCTCATATACATATATATATATATAAGCAGCAAAACGAATGTGTTCCATTTTAATCATAAGTTTCACATGGCAGTTACGCAATACAGAAAGCGTTAATCGGGCAGAAACCGTAATAAAATTAAGTAAGTAAATGGAGTGATGCAATGCAATTGACGGGAGTGAGCAGATCACAACTAGAACTGAAAGAGAGTCAAGTTAAGACCAGTGTCATAAGGAGCAGAAGTGTAATAGTGGGTGGAGGAGGCAAGAGAGTGAGAGAGAGACGGAGAGGAAAATAATACAACTAAGAAGCGAAAAAATTAGGTTTATTTTGATAAAGTCTCACAGTGTTATACGGTGATATTTACTGTTGACCTTTCGAGGACAATTTATCCCTCATCGTAATCATATCAAGTTACTCACACAACTTTCCATCTTCATTTATATGATTCCACTGTTTCTCATCTCTTGATTTGATTGGTAGTAATATATTCCATATTTCTGGTATGAGTGTTGAGTCATTCCTATTGCTTGTGTTGGGTGTAGTAGATTCTATGATGAAAGATTCATTAATGAACCTCTCTCTATATCACTTTTTAGAATTTTAACCCTCTCCCACAATCTCCCAAATCACACCCACAATACTGTGAGACTTCATCAAAATAAATTCTATCCACAATGAAATTGCACCCTTCGACAGTGAACAAGTTCTATTCTTATATCAATAAAAAAGTTATGATCAATAAAAAACTATGTATCCACTGTTAAGGCATATTAGATTCATTGTCTTCTTCTGCATTTAAAGTTTAGGACTTAACATGTGGATTGTTATCTCTTCTGAGGTTTGAAGAAGTTTGATTCATACTCCTATATGACAGTATTTCCAGGTACTCTGTAGAAGATGATTTGGAAGTTGGTTTTCGGGTTCTCTGGGTGTCGTGAGTCGATCAGGCTTTCCAGAATAGACCTGCTGTGGGGGGGGGGTTATCTTTTTCCTCCTTTATAAAACCATGATGAAGTAGGCAGAACAGTAAGATAGTTTAAACAGTAATAATTTATAAAAGGCTTAAGGAGAAGGGACAAATGGTTAGACTTTTGCTTTTATGTAATGATGGTCACGGTAAAGAAAACGGCTGTACGAATTTCATTTGAACACACCACTAAGCAGAACGATGTTCAGAAACCAAATGATGAACTTTTAATTTAATTGTTATACTAATTGTTCTTGGTTAACTAACATTGCCGCTGAAAGGTAAATATTTCTTTGCTTAGTCCGATTGTCTTCTAAGTGTATAGTTGGCGATTTTTTCCATACTGTCACTATTGTTTAAATATTATTTACTAGTAGCCCATAACCTTTGAATATATACATAGGTAAATCCTTTGGAAGAAATACCTGTTTCAGTAAATTCAATATTCTCATAATTTATTCAGAACAAATTGCTTAGAACGAACAACTGTTTGCAATAAATTCTTCTTCAGGCTCCACAATTATAAATCCATTAATTTATACACAGATATATCATCTCATTTTATCTGATGTTCTCATTGTCCACACATTTTCAAAACTAACTGACTATTGTTCCACCCCATCTTATACTTGTTCTCCAATACCTTTCTTATGAGATTATAATTTACCTTCCCTGACTGGCTACTGTATGCTTAAATGAATGTATTTATAATTGTAGTGCATGAAGAAGAATTTATTGAAAATACGTGTTTATAAGTAAAGTCTGATAATATTCAATGGTGTTTCGCTTGATGACATGAAATTGTTTGGAAACGTATTTCCATCCAAACAGTGTGTTAAGATTTATGGTTGGGACACTTAATAATTAAACTTATCTATAACCTAAAATTCGCTCTCTTTCCTGAAGACTGAGTGTATAGAAGTCTACGTATAGTTAACTTTTCATAAAACTGGACAATGTGTTTCCACTTCCTTGGTTGATGGTGGCTAGCAGTAGAATTAGGTGTGACTGATACTGTCTCCACTAATACTTGAACCCAGATAGCACTCTTCGTTTCATACTCCTGAAAGTTAATCACTAAGCCACTGGGCAGCAAGAACCATCACCTCTTGGGCTTCAGGTTTTCAGCTTAAGTTTGAAAGGGAATACTATCTATTAGTCACTTATTGGTTGGCGGAGGATGCAAGTACATTCATTTAAAGAGTCCCAAGTAGGACGAAACGCTTATCATCAGTCCCATTTCTAACCACTACTGACCAAAGAATCTTAAATTCATTAAACTGCTATAAAATTATTTGCGCATATTGATTGTGTCTCAAGATGATAATAGTTTCAATAATAATAATTCCAAAGAAATTCAGAACACATCATTCAGGTGACTTATCAAGATGTATGTATATACACAATGTTTGTCAGTGTTAGTTGAGTTGTGAAAGTCGATGAAATGTTGTCAAATAGAATTTGTTATTCGTTTTCTTCTTTTCCTTATGAAGCCATGCTAGAATGAACACTTTAATCCGAATGGAAAGCATCCTTTGATAATCAGAGCTTATCTATTTTACACAAGTAGAGAACAACTTACATCTGGTGAAGATAAGTTGGAGTTTTGTTACAAAAACAAGGTCTTACTGACTGATTTAAAAAAACAGGTGCCTGAGCCTATATGAAATTTGATTACATTGGAATTCCGAATTCATAAACACAATGTCCTTTCATACTGGCTTAACAATCAGTTTATAATGTTTGTCTTTTATGTTTTTGTTTTTTTGACAATAAGTCAGTTTGGGTAACCATTTTAGCAAGTGTGGTTTTTATGAAAGAAGTTTTTGCGTCAATTTAGTCAGCAGTATAAATCTTTCATATCTTATGGCATATTTAATTATTTTATTTACTGTTCTCTAGGGTTCCGAGTGGAACATAAGGCTTCAACAGCACATCTTCACTTTGTCCTATTCTCTGCTGTCCTCTTCAGTTGGCCCGAAAGTTGCCGATAATCTTTCATCTCCTCCTCACACGATCTCCTTAATGTCTCTCTCGGATACATACCCAACCCATTGTTCGCATCCTAATTCCTCTCAAAGGATGGCCTGGCGCGTGACGTCACCCGACACTTTTCTATTCCTCAATCTCCATTTTCTTCGGGATATTTCTTGAGCATTATTGAGAGCGAAACGCTTAGTTCAGCGAGGAGTCTTTTTTCAGCAGTGAATTCATTCACTTAGCTGTACAATCGCAATTACATATACTTATTTTTGTATGTGTGTGTGCACATTAGGTTCGTCTGATAAGAATAAAAATAAGTTAGGGTTATTGTTGTCAAGACATTTCAAAAATATGATGAGTAGGTTTAAATGAACGCATCGCGTTTGTGAGCCTGCTGACGTATGAGGCGTGATCTACCACTGATGGGAAGCTTGAGGGAGAAAAACACACCTGGCAGTCGTAGTGTCGTGCCATATACTAGCTCAGCGGTAGTACAACCAGCATCGGTTTTTAAAGCGTTTCGTATCCCTAGGAAAACTAACGGAAGGGATTCAGTCCAATGGGTTTATTTGCAGCTGATAAGCCAGCTTTCATCTGTCTGTGTAGACGTTCTACCATATCATTAGCTTGAAGATGGTAGGCTGTTGTTCGAAAACGCATGCAACCAAGAATTTTAGTTAGGGCGAAGAATAAACCGCTTTCGAATTGCTGCCCGCGATCAGTTGTTATGGAAGATGGGCATCCAAAGTTTGAGATCCATCTGTCTACAAAAACGCGTGCGACGGTTTCAGCAGATATATCCTTGAGGGGTACTGCTTCAGGCCATCGTGTGAAGCGATCGATGCAGGTTAACATATAGGTAGATCCATGAGATCTGGAAGGGGGACAACTAAATCTATATGGACGTGTTCGAAACGGGCATCGGGGATAAGAAAGGTACCAAGGAGGCTTTCG